TCTTTGCGCACAACTAGCTTAGTTATTTATTTTTTAGGCGTGGCATTACTATAAATTATACAGTTTTGTCCGTGCATGAAAATGACATCATCATGAGTTTCGCTTGCTGTGATTGTGTTGACGTTATGTCTTTTTTTACTTATGCCAGTAGGCAATATCAGTAGCCAATAGCAATGCCACTAGCTCTTGGGTAGAAATAATGATGGGTAGAAATGGATGGATGGTAGAATGATGGGTAGAAATTGGAGCATCTGGATGTTGTTGTTGTTATTGTTGTTGTGTTCCCGGTATGTTTACTCAGATGGATGATCAGTATTAAAAGTCATCCTCTTGTAAATGAGTTGTATCATTGTATTGTATATTCCCCTTATTTTTTTCAAGTCTTCTGTCGACATAATAAAACCGCAATATTATTCGTGTTTTGTTGTACGTATATAACTACATTACGCAGCTACAACAACATTACGCAAAGGATTAGCATATACTTGCTGTAACTACTTTCGGTTGGTTGCCTGCTTTCTGCTACTACATGATTTAAGACAGTGGATTCGCAGTACAAGTACAGTTAGAACGTATCTGCGCGTTATTCTTATCAAAGCAAATCACCCTCTATTTCCGGCCACCGTGAGAGTGCATAGGTTTTTATTATCATACAAAAAAGCGTTTGCAAGAGTTTAAATATCACAAACAAAACGGAAAGCGTAAATCTTTAAGGAACAGAGCACACAAGGAAGCCTGAGGCATTTTAGAGGCAGACGCCGTGTTGGCCGGTGACGGGGACGAAGCAGACACCGTTGCAGCAGTGCTCGTCGACGTAGCAGTAGTTGTTGATGTGCCGGCATTCCGCGCGCTTCCACCCTTCGTGGCTGCGCCCACTGATGAAGACGCTGCCGCCCGGTCCTCCCAGTCCGACTCCGCCACGCGCAGTGTTGGTATTGGATCCTCCACCGCTACCTCCACGCCCTTTATGGCGGTTCCCATGTTTGTCAATCCGGAACCGATGTCGATCGTTTTGGAAAATTTGAAAGCATCGCTCATTTGCCAGTAAAAACACAAATACACTGCTGCAATAGCCAGATAATGGAACGGCTGGAAATGCATGCTTCTCGGGAAAAGACTACGGTTAATCACAGAAATCGGTAAATTCTACTAGAGAAGAGGTTAGGCGACCAGTTAGTTGAAAAAGGAAACGAAAGTACTATGATTAAATGCTTGTAAGTTGTAAGCTTGCTTCTTTTATTCCCATTTGGTTCCGGCAGCACCAGAGTTCTTAACTCAGGGAACGACGCGTGTGATAAGATTCCATCAGTGTATTGCTTGAGCAGCATACTGTTGCGCTTGATAAACCAGCGATAACTGCACAGCTGATCGCTGCCGGAAGTATGATCCATATACTAATCTTGCACGTGCCTAAACAATCACCTTTGATTTCCGCGAAAGCTAATCAGCATTTCTGCGAGAAATACCCAGCATTTCTGTGAACGATTGGTGAACTCCAGCAATTTTTGTCATTTCCTGCGCTACGGTAATTTGACGGAAATTTGACGCTTTCCAACCAGACTGACCAACCAGACTTCCTGGTTGAGTGCAAATAAATCGCTATGCTTGAACCCTTGGTGCATCACATGTTGATCCCATTCTGCAAGTTTTGTCAACCTCAACAGCTGACAGTTACTAACTGTCAGTTAGGCGTATATCATCTGTATTCGCGACAAAGCGGTTTAGTTTATTGTTTTTGTTAACCCTGATATATAAATCTGTGCATTATGTGTAAGGGTTTACATGCTGTTGAGACTATCTGTGCAATTTTTGGCTGCCGCAAAACGTTTATCCGCGCAAAAAAATGGGAAAATACAGATGTATCAATAATTACTTTGTGTAACTATTCTATCTGTACTCGGTAGTGTACCGCGTACACCAAGACAACACGGCAACAACAAATTTTTGACACCTTGTACCGGGCCATTTCCCTTAAATGAAAACATGTACTGATAGGAGTACAATGCTTTGAGCGTGCTCCTATCCAAGATCTGTAATCCGAAGAACACAGTGCAAAAGAAAATCCAGATATAAAATGCCGACATTTGTCACGTCATCATATCAAAAAGCAGGCTACAATGTCGACTTGTCATTTGTCAAGCAAAAAATTAGATCAACAAGATCAGTGGAACGCTAAAATATGTGGGAACTGGGTTATGACATTGATATATAGCTTATAAGTACTGTAGACACGTATTTTGTGGTTGGACACTTGGAAGGGAAGGTTTCTTATAAATAAATGATAAATCGTTCTGGAGCGTTTCACCGCATAACCTTTAAGCTGTAGAAGCTTTACAGCAGTTCTTTTCCTGAGAAGGATTTCGTTATTGCGGTTGTAGAATACTAGAATCGCTGTACATCAGTTAAACGTTATCGAATTTTATTTCACCCGTATTTCAGCAGTCGGATGCTGTATGGCTTATCTGTTATCACAGCTTTTTCTCTACGGAATGCTTTAGCCAATAAACTGCCTAAAAATAATTTATTCAAAAAAAATTATTCACGACAAAGTCTTATAAATCCAAAGCAGATAAGTATGCCGTACGCAGAATGAACTTAACCAGCATTTCTAAACAAATTTGCTTTTTAGTCCAGATTGTCCCTAACTACAGCAACATACGACGTGATGTAACAATATCGGCACACTTTATTTTCTAACAGCGGGAAAGTGTAGCCAAAATGTGATACACAAGTCTGTAGTTGCATATTAAGGTCGACATGGAGCTCTCCAAAAGTCAATGCTCTTGGCAAACAACGTCGCTTAATGAATACAATCAAAATGAAAAAGTTCTCCCACGCTGCCTTAAAAGCTTCGGCAATACCCAGGTTGACCGACAATGGGGACCCTGCAGAGACGACTGCAGCACTGCTCGTTGCCGGAGCAGGAGCTGTACAAGGTCCGGCATGGAGCACGCTTCCTCCGTCCGTGACTGCGCCGGTCGAATCCGCTGCTGCCGCCCGAAGAGCGGCCGCTCATGTCGATGAAGACGCTGCCTCCTTGACCTCCTTGCCCGAAACCGCCATGGGCGATGTTGGTGTTGGATCCTCCTCCACTTCCACCTCCGTTCCCACTGCCGCTTCCGGATAGTGCAGTCAGGATTCCCAGTCCCACTCCACCGGCAACCGTTCCCCACGCGTCACACACCAGCAAATGCCCGCAAACCAACAGATACACCATGGACACGACGGCTGTCACTGACATCTCGGAATTCACTGTGAAAAGTCAGCACGTTCAGACAATATAATCGTACGAAAGAAAATGCAGGAAGTGTAGCTGTTTGTCTGGGAATGCTAAAGATATTTTATTAAAGATACTTGAATAATCGTTACGAGTTCAAACGCTTGCAAAAATTCAATTCGTGAAGTGACAACCGTTCGGTTAAGAAAGGCTTTTTATTCGTCCCAATACCGGAAGCCTGGTTGGCTAGCAAGCTTGAAGACGTCACTGATATAAGTGGAATAGAGAACAGGATATGAAGCAATTTAGCGACTTCCTTCGAAGAAATGTGTAACACTTCACGCAGAAATGCAGACTAACCTTTGCAAAAATCAAAGGTGATTGCTAAAACACGTGCAGGATTATCAGATGCACCATACTTCCGGCAGCGATCAACTGCTTAACTGCTTAATCACACGCAACAGCAAGCCGTTCAAGCAATACATTGATCGCATCTTATCAAGTGGAATCTCACGCGTTGGTCAGTGACTAATGAACCCTGGCACTACCGGAACTAAGCGAGTATAAAAGCAGCACGCTTGCACACACCGAAGCACAATACCTTCATTCCCTCCTTTAATCAATTGGTCTCTTTAATTTGTTCTTTAGCAGCATTTACTGAATCCTATATTTAAGCGTAGTCTTTGCCCGGGAAGCATGGATCAGAAACGGTTTAATTATCTGACGGTTGCAGCAGTGTGTTTGTGTTTCTATTTCCACACAAGCAATGCTTTCGACTTTTCCAAAGTGGTCGGTATCGGTTCCGGATTGACAACGATGGGGAACGCTATCAAGGGCGGTGGAAGTGGAGGCGGAGGAGGATCCAACAACAACCAGGCACACGGCGGCATTGGATTGGGCGGACAAGGAGGCAGCGTCTACATCGACATGAGTGGCCGCTCTGCGGGCGGCGGCTTCGAGCAGCGCAGTCACGGACGGCGGAAGCGTGCAGAATGCCGGCACATCAACAACTACTGCTACGCCGACGAGCACTGCTGCAACGGCATCTGCCGCGTCCAGGTCGTCGGCCAACACGGCGTCTGTCTGTAAAATGCTTCCATGTCTCGTCGGCTATAGTGTCGTGTTTTTTAAACTTTCTGCGGATTGTATAGAAAGTGCTTTATATCGAAACACCAAACTGTGCAAGCATCACGCTGGAAATAAATCTGTTCGAAACAGTTGCGCAGTGTCTCGCTGTAACAGGAAAAACGACTCAAATTCAGTATGTCACGGCGTACAACTGCACTGCAAATTTCCTGGTCTTAAATTCGGACGTAACACGGAGTAGGCAACCGTACTTGCAACGTGGATGACATATGTAAATTTCGGCCATAAGTATTTTATGCAATACATTCGGCATTTGGCTCTATAAGATTTACGCAAAGTAGAATGACATAAGAAAGTGTTCTGTTGTGATGTCAGCTGCATTATGTCATGCCTTCCCGCCGGTAAGCGTGTTCTTTCCATGCTTTCATGATTGCAGAATAAACTATTTATTTTGCTGTTTATTCTAAAGGCTTTGATGTTTGGCGTTGGCCGCCCAATATAAGCGCGACTGCATTGCGCGTTTATTTTCAGCTGACTGGTGTTAGTATATAAACAGGCACAATAGTAATATGTACGTTGTGTTATCGAAACTGTTGAAAGCACGCTGTGCGCGTCGCACAGGAATGTGGACGGAACAAGACGGCTGCCAAACAGATCGTTTATTAAAATGAAATTTTAATAAAGGCAACAAGGCCCGACAAATCTGAAATCATCCGCAGGATGATATCAAATCCCAGATGGGAGCAAAAGGAGAACAGAATCGACCAGTCAAGATATTCTTGGCTGGGAGATGCGGAAAATCAGAAGTAAAGGCCGTGTATTTTAATACACGGCCGAATCGGCAAAAAACAGACCGGAGAGACGGTGCGGCAATCCACGCAGCCCCACTATCCTGGGCGGTGGCACCGGCCTCCTAGCATGCCACGGGTGGAACTCCGAAGCTCCCGCGAGGACACACCAAATCGAAAAAAGACAAAACAGAAAATAACGAACAAAATGCGACCGAATACAATCTGCGGCGCATATACTAGATTAAAAAATCACAAAAAATGGCGAATTTGATGAGATCCATTCCATTGATGAGGCGTCTCAGTCTGGAGAATAGTCGTCCTCCAGAGCAGCATTTCAGCATCGTCGCCCACGCTCACGCATCATTCAGCATGTCGGTGTCAGCGTCGACGGCAGCAGGGTCGGAAATAGAATCGGCTGCGGTGACTGCATGAACAGTCTCGGCTGCGGCGACAGCATTTAAAGCTTCGCCAAGTACCTCTGACATCGGCAACACAGGTGGCTCAAATTGAGCCAACACATTTTCCACTGTGTCGTGGAATACGTCGGTTTCTTCTTCACCTTGCGGTGGCGGCAAACGAATAAACGGCTGCTCGGTATTACCGGCGTCATCTAGATACTCATCTAGATATTCATAACGGTATCGATGAAAGAACGCACGTTGGTCCTTACTCATTTTCGACTCATCCATTTTACGTAAATACGCCATCGTATTCCGTTTGTATTCTTCGGAATTCGGTTCGGCTTCATTTTCATAAGACTTTGTAGTCTTATAAAACTCAAACTCGGCGTCGGACATGCGGGAAATCGGTAATTTCACCAGATAATGTTCAACGAAGATGTCCTTCCTCTTCGGCTCTGTACTAACAGATTTAGGTCTGTTGACTTTTCGTTTCGGCGGTGCAGCATTCACAGGCTGCATATCAGCGGGAATCGGCTGTGCAACAATTGCGGGTTGCGAAGTCGCAACAATCGGCGGTGCAACATCAAGTTGTTGCTGCTCAACCGGAACGGTTGAGATCGGCGGTACAGGTGCGGGCACAGCTGGCAACTGCTGTGATTTGCCTGCAACACCCGTTTTATTAGCGGCTTTATTGTTGCCATTATTACTCGACGGTTTTAAAATATTCTTATTCTTATTCGGCTCGGTACTCGTACCTGTGGACTTAACCGTAGTCGTGTCCAACAACGACGGAGCGGATCCGAATTTTGACAACGGCACATTCGGTTTCACCACGGGAATAATAATCGGCTGTGTAATGGGAGGAAGCTTGACAGGCTGTTTCCCGCCCATCACTCCCAACTGCGGCGTTGCGGGATCCCCCGACTGATTTTTCCGAATATTTCGGAACTTCGGCTCCGGCTGTACAGTTTTGCTTCCCGTAGGAGCGTCTGGTGAATCGGGCAAAGGGCGCTTTTTATATAGCTGGCCCTTGTCAAACTGCGTCTTACGGTCGCCGTATCGTTTCATACGGGTATTAATGTCATCGTAAAAACGATCGACTTCGTCAGTGTCCATCTCGACATGACCGGCGGCAGCTAGAGTGTCTTTCAACAGCTCTGCTTCTTGCTGTTCAGTCAGCGGCTTCCCTAGCATTTCGATTAAATCCTTTAACAAGGCATATTTGGCTCGTTCTTTACTTTGGTAGATCGCCTTGTGGGCGCTATGACTACCAAGTAATGCGACAGCGATACTCATAGCGGCAAATTTCAGTCCCGTATTGTAGGGAATCGGCGTCCAATCGATATTGCGCTCATTTAATTCCTGATTCAGGTAGTGTCACCGTAGTGAGCGACTTTGCAGAAGAAAAAGAATTTTGCAGGGTCGGCTTGTGGCAGTACATACTGCATAAGGAATTTCTCAGTTACTGGATCTCCGTAAATCTTAAATTGAGAAATAATCTCAATATCAACGGCGGTGATCGGCGTGTACAAGTGCTTCTTATCGAGCACTGTACGAAGATTATTACGGCGGCTGGACGCGTACGTAATTATTTCCAACGAACGCGATAAATCGACGGTAGAATAATCGAACTCCATCATTCGATCTCTTAATCCTATCTTCCCCAAAAATGCCGCGGCATTCTGAATCATATTCTTCAGATGCAACATTTCCGGGCCGTTCGTCTTCGCGATATCGGCGACAGTAGCCAGCTTATGTACATAAATACCAAGATCGCTGGTATACTGAGTTACATCGCGCAGAATCCTATTAGGATCGATGGTCGGTTGGCGTGGTCGTCGAACACCACGATTATCGCGAGAATTACTCTCACGCGTCGGCGGTTGCTGAGATTCAGCCGGCTGATTAACATTCTGTGGTTTATTCGGCTCATTACGCTGCTGGTAGTCAGCAGATCGGATATTCGGCTGGTTTCCGCGCTGTCTGCCACGTTTCTGCAAAGCAGCGGAAGAATCAGAAATATATTTCGACATATCTTTCCCTTCGACTACAATATTTTTCCCAGAATGGGAGTGATTTGGTGACGGCTCTAATGTAAATTCAATACGATGTCGGTGACGAGCACCAAATACTGATCGGCTACTATCCGTAGAAGACGGCTCTTTAATCGACGTATTAGAATCGTCGATAGACAGACCACCTACTTGTTTCGACAGTCCGACACGCGCGACAGTCCGACACGCGCGTCTGGCTGGACATGCGACGTGCTGGGTTGCGGTTCGGCTTTACGCTGCTGTGATGCAGCTCGGCTGAGATACTGCTGTTGTGCAGTATTTCCTCGGTACCCGCGCTCATGCAGCCAAGGATCGGAAGTCCATGCACTGCTAGCACTACTCGGCGCCTGCTGTAAAAGCAGTGTATTAAACGGCTGTGTTATACATAATCGACAAGCAGGAATTATTAGGCTATTTACCTGTTCGTTCTGCTGTCGATAATACTGGTATTGTGGCTGGTTGAAAGCCACATCGGTTTGCTGCTGGTACTGCGCATATTGCGCCGGCTGCTAGTACTGCTGATAGTACTGCATCTGCTGCGGCGGCGACATGGGATTCATAGCATATCCCTGCGGCATATTACCGGTTAATTGTAATACATCTATTTCCCACTGGCTGGGAATATCACGATTTAGTGGGATACATTCCCAATCACTTAAAGAAAAAGTATCGGTCTCAGAATCAGAATTATTCACCTGATTCGTCGGCATCTGCACTTGTGCAAGATAGCTGATCGGCAGCTGCATCGGCGCAACATAATTCGGCTGTTGTGGCAAATCGGCAGGCAATGGCATATCACACCACTGCGGTTCACGAGCGGCTATGAGTTTCCGGGCTGCGTCGTTCATCCTGATACGCAGCCAAGGTTTGGCTTGGAATACCGGCTCAAAATGCGTCTCACCAAGTGTGACATACGCATCCAGGTTGCAGTTCAGGACTTCATTAACCAATCGGCTCGCGACGGTATCCTTATCCTGTTCGCTGTACAGCTTATCTCCGAAGAGACAATCGGCGCACTTTCGGCGATTAGTGTTATAACGGCAGCGATAACACTGCGTCGGCTCCATTGTATCTACAATAATTATACTGGATAATTTACCGTGATTATTCAACGCTAAATTAATCGGCCATTTAACACTATTTTATGCGATTAATCGGCAACTAATTGGAGAGCAACTAGGTACGAACCACAATTTAGTGGGGACATAATAGCGGCTTTGAAATATTTAACTATTTTATCTAATAGTTAATTTTCGGCTTGCTTCTATCAGATATTTATTTTTAAATTTATTCGGCTTGCTTGTGATTGTGCGAGAGGCACAGACCACGATTGATCGGGGAATAACAACGGCTAATAATTAATTCTACCTATTATTCGGTAATTATTATACCGCTCAATAGTAACTAATTAATTACTATCGCTAATCGGCTACATTAATTAATGAATAATTCGAAAATTAATTCAGTAATTATTCGGCAATTTAATCGAGATCTAAATCGGCTATTCACTAATTAATTCTAGATTAATAGTGAGAAATCTCTAAGTCGAAGCGACTAATAGAATTTCGGCAAGAGGTATGGACCACACAATTAGTGGGGATTTAATTCGGCGAGAGGTATGGACCTCATGATAGTGGGGATTTAATCGGCAATTATCGTACATGTACGTATCCGTTTTTATTACGGCGTACATGTAATTACAATTTTATCGGCTTCTTCTTAATATTTTTACGGCTGTGATCTTCGGCAACCTCGTTTTCGGGTTCCCACTGATCATCGTCATTGACGACTTCAGCATTATCTTCGACGGTGTTATTTGTAGCTTCAACGGCTTCTACGGTATCAGCTGGAATGAACGGCTCAGCGTTCACATTCAACCCAGTTTCGGTAGGTTTCGGCAGGGAGATCGTACTAGTTATTCCTTTACGATCCTCTTCGGTAGTGTTATAACGCTTGAGACGCTCGCAATTAACGATGCGAGTTTCTCCCGGCTTATCTTTATTTTCGATTTCAACGGCATTGGTATACGGGAAGCCAGTAACTTCCCATCTACCCCCGAATTTATCTCGGAAAGATTCGGTTTCACCCTTCTTCTTCTCTCGCTTTAGAAGAACCAGTTCACCGATCTGATAATCGTCTTCTCGACGTTTCTTATTAAAACGTTCGGCCGTTTTAATAAATTCCTCTCTCATGTAGATTTCGGCTAGCTCATGCGCTCGCGCTAAATTATGGCGAAATTCGTCCATATATTCAGCTATCGACGCATGTTCGGCTGGTATATTGGTCTTAGTGACCGTATCGGCTGGAATAACTTGTTCACGCCCGTACAACATATAATACGGCGACATGTGAGTAGTTGCGTTTTGTACTCGGTTTTTAGCGGCTATAACGAACGGGAGAATGGTATCCCAATTCTTTTCCCGTCCGTCTGCGGCGTACATTGCCAACGAGTCGGCAATAGTTTGCATCTGACGTTCGACTAAGCCTCTACCAATTGGATGGTAGGCAGCACCAAAATGATGCTGAATCTTTAAGCGGTGGTTAATCGCTTCAAGAAGCTTGTTGTGGAAATGAGTTCCACGATCGGTATTCAAAATATGCGGCGTGCCATAGGGCAGAAATACGTCGTGAATAAGGAAACTAGCAACAGTTTCCTTTTTCGCATTAGGAATCGGCTTAGCTATTACGAACTTAGTTAATTCGTCAATAGCGACGGCTATATATGTATTACCTCTTGGGGTAATCGGCAAAGGTCCTTTTAAATCGACTTGTACTCGGAACCACGGGGCTCCGATAGCTATCTGTTGTAGCTTGCCCGGCGGTGCCTTCCGTTCGGTTTTATGGTGTTGGCACAAATAACAATTGCGTACGTACTTATCGATGTCGGCAACCATGCCGTCCCAATAGTAACGAAGCGCAATTGCCTGATACGTCTTTAGTGGACCCAAATGTCCACTAGCCGGTGTATCGTGCATAGCATGCATTATATCGACACGCATATGCTTCGGCACGACGAACCGTCGATCAAGGCGGCCGTCCTTTTCGGTTAATCGATATAAAACGCCGTTCCATAACTCAAAGTATGGATCGCGTTTGATCAAATGAGTACTTTCGGCTCGGCCCTCAAGGGCATGAATACGCTTTTCGATTACAGGATCCTTATCCTGTTCGGCTCGATAATACATGAAATTATCTTCGTCTTCATCGTGTTCGGCTGGGTCGGTGATAGTGACGACTCGAATGGTCGGAGTACTAAACTTCCGATCTTTCATTTCGTCCCAGTCATCGTCGTCGGCGGTCTCGACCGGTGGTCCGACTGGATGACGGCTTAAAGCATCGGCATTGTCGCATTGTTTGCCCGGCCGATATTGAATAGTCATCTTGTGGCTACTCAACTGAAGTGCCCAACGGGTAAGGCGCCCGTTCAGGCCTTCCTTTCTCGACACAGAGCGTAACAAATTTGTTAACGCCTGATGATCGGTTTGCACATAGAAATGTGAATACTCGATAAAGTGTCGGAACTTACGGCATGCAAATACTACAGCAATACATTCCAATTCGGTAATCGGATATTTGCGTTCGGCTTCGGTTAGGAGTTTGCTAGCATATACAATCGGGTGACCATCCTGGTGTAGGATAGCTCCTATCCCTATCGTACTAGCATCGCACTCGATAACTGTCGGCTTATTCGGGTCAAATTTGACCGAAACCGGCGCATTTATCAATGCGTTTTTCAAATCGACAAACTCGGCATCATGTTCGGCTGTCCATTTGTTCTTAACGTCGATCTCACCCTTTAGTAAGCCATACATGGCTCGGGTTCGGCTAGCAAAGTCCTTAACGAACTTACGGTAATAGTTGCATAAACCAAGGAAAGATGGAAGATCTTTCTCAGTTTGCGGCTTCGGATATTGTTGAATCGCGGAGATTTTCTCCGGATCGGTTTTGATTCCGGCTTTAGACACTATGTGTCCAAGGAAGTGCAACTCGGTTTCACCGACATGGCACTTGCTCGGCTTAAGCGTGAAGCCGACCTTTACGAGGCATTCGCACATTAGTCGGATTTTACGAATCAAATCGTCAAAATCCTTTCCGGCTACAATGATATCATCTAAGTACGCAAAGATATTCTCATTGCGTACTCCGACAAGAGCCTTATTCATAGTCTCTTGAAATGTTGCCGGCCCATTACACACGCCGAAGGGCATGCGTAAAAATTCGAAAAGACCGTCCTGCGTGATGAACGCAGTCTTTTCAATTGAGTCTTCGGCCATTTGTATCTGCCAGAACCCGGCATTACAATCGACGCCTACATAATATTCATTATCGGCTACGGATTGAAGCAATTCATCTGGTGACGGCAAAGGGTAGTTATTCTTTTTCGTTGCGTCGTTCAACTTTATATAGTTGACGCAGAAACGCGTGCCGATAGTACCGTCTGGATTCTTCTTAGAAGCCAGCACAACTGGGAAACACCAGTTGCTATTTGATCGGCGAATAATACCTTTTTCGAGCAATTCTTTAACATGCTCTTCGATTATCTCCCGACCTCGCCAAGAGGTACGGTGCGGCTTACATTTAATCGGCGGGCAGTCACCCGTATCGATATGGTGCTTTACAATTGTAACGTCACCAAAAGGTCGGCGTTTAGTAGCAAAAAGATCCGGGTATTCAAGGAATACTTCCTTGATCTTCGCTATTTGTTCGGCTGTCAGCTTAGAGTTAATTTTAAACATATCGACGGCTTCTCGGATTTCTTGTTGTTCTTCCGGCGTTCGTTCGGCTAGTTTAACGGAATTAATACAGATCTCATCATCTTCTATCTCTTCATACGGCTCGAGATAGCCGATGAATTGACCTTTCTTTATCGACTTTCGGCTATTATGGAAATTGAACAATCCCAGTTCAAATTTCCCATTAGCGGGTCTTACGACACCTTCAATCGGCTTGATATGCCTCTCCATGTAAACATGTGGGCTCGGCAAGAACATAAACTTATCGGTAGAAAATTCTTCGGTTGGATCGAATCGTGCTACTACTGCAGCCATATTTATACCAGGATTGATTAGAATTTTGTCGGTAGCGAACACCTTAATCGATTGGAGGCGTGGGCTACGAGAAGTAGATTCAATAGTAGGCGACTCAGAAAATTCCCAAGTCTTATCAATAGCTGTGGGGTCAGCTGACTGATCAGGTTCAACTGATTCCCTATTAATCGGCGTAGATTCAGTATGAACTACCGGCTCTACATTCGCAATGATTAGATTTGATGCATCAAATGATTGTATACTGGATAGGGTTTCGTTTAGGTCTGGTACATCATTAGCTACAGTATCGGCATGATTCGGCTCCTTTGATTCGACATTCGCATTATTACATGCGACATCATCATTCGGTTGCGACTGTAATCTACATTCTGTAGTCGGCTCATCTTTACTGAACTCCATTACGGACGCCATTGGGTGAAAATGTGCCCGAGGCCAAGCACCGGCCAAGAAGTTAGCACCGGCCATTAGCACCGGCCAAGAAGTCCTGACCTAATAGCACTTTAGTGTCGTCGACAGTCGGCTTAATGTAGAAAGAATGGTTAATTAGTTCACCAAGTACTTTTGCAGGTACCGTGCAGTAGTGGGTTACTAAAAATCCACACATACCACCGATTCCTCTAATGTTTAGCGGCTTAACTAACGGTAGTTTTTCTAGTTTTAATTCGTCGACGAACTCACTCGAGATGAGTGATGTCTCGGCTCCAGTATCGATCATAACCATAACGGTTGTGCCTACAATGCGTGCCCACACCATTAACGGTGGCGCTCGCTTCGGCTCTGTAGTTGAATCGACATTAGAATTATCAATATTGATTTCATTTATAATCGGCTCGTTTAGATCGATCGGTTCGGTGATTCGGATACCACTTATAGTTATTATTTCAGTAGTATCCGGCATTTCACCAGGAAACCGGGGAGTACTGCCGGAAGTTACTCCCCGTTGTCGTTTTCCTGGCTACTGGCGGAGACGGCATATTCATTTTGCCGTGGCGGCGGTGAAGTTGACGTCGGCCGTGGACCATTCGACTGGCCCTGGCCTTGGCCACGCGACTGTGAATTGTTTCGGGAACGGCCGCTATTAGGCGTGCCCGTTCCACTACTGGCTTGGCTTCGGCTCCGGAAATCCCGGGCGTACCGGCGATTCCCAGTTACCGGATCATGATACGACAAATAGATTGGGTTTTCGGCTCGAGGCACGTCTTTAAACTGACATGCCTCAAAGTAGTGCCCGCAGACATCGCACTGCTGGCAATACTCAACGACTCGGCCGTTTCTCATCGGCTTCTCCAACCGTGGGGTCCGGTCAGTATTCTCGGGAATACGTCCGGCGTTCTCGGCCCACAGCTGGGAACGGTTCGACTGTTGATTATTATTGTTATTGCCGGCTGGCCTCACATTGCCATTATTATTGGCGTTACCTGTTGGCCTAACATTACCATTACCATTTCCATTACCATTATTAGCTGCTCGGTACGGTCGGCGATTGTTCCCATTATTATTGGGGCGCGGCGGGCTAGCAGCTGCTGCCGCATAGCTCACCGGCTTCGGCTGGGTCTGTACCGTACGAACGGTCACAGAGTCGGCATCTTGGTTCTTACGTTTACTACCGACCGGAATCACGTACTTTTCGGGATTGCTCGCCGTCAAGTAGCGAATCTTCTCCAAGAATTCTTCCGGCGTACGAGGATCCATGCCCTCGATTTTGTCATGCAAAGTTGCATGCGACTTTATACCCTTCATTAGAAAGGTCACGAATTGATCCGGCGTACCGGCATAACCGGCCTTGTCTCTCAGCGTCATCATCGCTTGAAAGAAACTTTCAAGCGATTCCTGACCTGGTCGGTACGTTCGATTCGTAAGTTCAGACAACGCATTTACAGAGCGTCTGGTATCTCCGAACCGCGCAACCAATTGGTTACGCCACTCCCGGTACGTAGTCGGCTTGTTTGGGGACGTGAGCAGGCCGTTGTACCAGATAACCGCCTCATCCTTCAGGCAGTAGGCCAGTTCGGCTATCTTACGCTCATCGCTTACCCATCGGTTTTCTTTTGCGGCTTGCTCAAACTTAATAAGAAAAGTATCAATATCTTCTTTGTTGCCGTTGTACGACGGCCTAGGAACCGGCTGTCGTATGGCGTCGGCTAAGTCGGCTTTCCTTAGCGGACTATTGGTTCGACTTGTTCGTTTACTTAGCTTACGCAGTTTTTCCCGCAGAGCTTCACAAATTGCCTCTGCCTCCTTATGGGAAACCTGCTGTCGGCTGATATGTTCTACTGTCGGGGCCGGCTCCATGCGGGAGTGCATGGTTTCGGGCTGGTCAGCGCGCATTCGCGTAGGCGGCCGTTCTTCATAATCGATTTGGTTTTCGGCGGCAGCTATCATCTGCTGGTGCGTTGCCAACAGGCGGTTGTACTTTTCGGCTAATATATTAAATTCCGACCGGTATCTCTCACTCGACTCTTGCAGCATAGAGATCGAAGCGAGTCGGTCGTTCGACTCTGTACTCAACTTCCCGTTCTCTTGTATAGCCTCGAGATACTGATTACGGAAGTTGGTCGACGAATCCTTTTCGGTTTTTAGTTCGGCTTGTGCTTTTTGTAGTTCGGCTTTTAGTTGATCGATCCTATTATCCCGTTGTCTAACTTGGGCAGCGAGCCCGACGGCGGCTTCGCTTGCCTTATTGTGGGAGCCTTTAGCCGTTCGTAGCTGCTCCTTTAGGTCATCCAATTCGGCTTTTATTTCGCAAATCGTCTTATTGCGTTTTGCGATATCTTGTTCGGCTTTTTCGTATCGGACTCTAAAGTCCGACACTTGGTTCTGCAATTCTACCACTGTATCGGTAGCTTGCATTAACAGGCTGAACCGGGGCCCTTTCTCTCCTGTCGGCTGTAACGGCTGAATCGGCGGGATTTTTAAGATCGGGGTCAAATCCTTGCTCAAAGCCTTGTCGATAAGGCTCGGACTGGAATGCGCCTTCGGTCTCAACGGTACTACCGTTGTCGGCTCATCCTCCTCATCCTCCGACGACTCGGGCGGCTTATTTGATTCGGGATCGCTAGTATTAATTAGCGACACTGATGACAGCGTCGATGTAATCGACTCTGTTGCGCTATCGGCTCTGTCTACACTCGGCTGTGTCTCTACTTCGATCATGGTCTCGTTCAGATCCTTAGGGACCATTGGCGAAGCCGGCTGTTCTACCGCTTCAGGTACTGGTAGATCGGCTAATGGTGCTCTTTTCGGCTTTCTCTTATTGGTTTGTAGTACTTGATGTACTACTTCCTCGCCACCGGCTACTATTTGTTTTGCTTTCCCGCGGGTAACATTGCGGGCTGCGTTATCATTAGTTTCTGTATCTTTCGGCTGATTTCGAATTAATCGATCGGCTGTTCGTAAAAGATTATTAGCGAACTGTTTCGCTTTATTCACTGGTGTTCGCTCCATATCGGCGATTTTATCAAAATATAACCGGTAATTATTACGGTTGTATTCTAATGAATGGTATGGCAAATTTAATGGTAGTTCGCTCTCAACTTCCCACGAATGGGTCAGCGAAAAATCCACTAAATTGCAAAACGATTTTCGGTCAAAGTGAAAATAATATTTTCGATTAATTTCGGCAATTTTATGATTTATAATTTCAGTACAAAATTATCGGCAATACAGTAATATTCTACCGTAATTAATTCGGTTACTTATCAGACGTTACACGATACACTTTGTATCATATAACATACGACGTTAATTAGTTTCACTAATTTATCGAATTTTCGGCTTGTATTGCAATAGCTGCAAGGTTGATGGACGGAACAGTACGGCTGCTGCCTAACACGGTAGCAGTAGCTTCCGCGTGTGATAACGATCGGCAGGTTCCACTGCAATTATCTGCAGTCGACTTTGGATTTTGACCTTGCAATTTTCGAATTTCACGACGGTTGAATCGCGGTATTTTCACCGCGATTATTTGACAAAATATCGTATAATAATCGGCAATTTATCGGCGATTGTTCCAATAAAATACGAATAATTTATCGGAAATAGACCATTCGAAAAGTACAGCAAAGTATGCAGGAGTATCGCGTACTACATACAATTGCTTCGGCGACCGTATTTCATCGGCTCTGTAGAAATACTCATAATTATTATAATCGGTTTTCGAAAGCGATAACATACAAAACGTTGACGGCTTTCGTGTACGGCTAGGTTTCGTTATTGTGGATAAATTCTAACGAATTTATCCTTCGAAAATATCAGGATTTTACGGTGATAATTCTCTGCTATTGCAGAGTTAAATTCGAGAGCAAAATCGATAAAAACATCGTTATTATCACGGCAAAGTCAACGACATTGACTACAATATGGTAGCTTGTAACGGCTACCGTAATTGATCAATAATTCGGAAATTTCCGCGATATTATTCACGGAATAATACGGCGTAATATTCTGAAAATTTCTTCAGAAACTCTCGGCTCTATCCGTTCAAGGGAATCGAATTATTGTGGTAGAATTCACGAGAAATTCTCCACAAAACGATAGCAATACGGCGGCAAAATACAGTAGCTTTCGGAGCTACTGCACGCGGCGAAATTCGATTAATTTCTAGAGCGATTGCATCTAGAATTACACGGCAATTCTCTAGAAAAATTCTAGATTCTTTCAGTAATCTAGATCGGCAGTGAGACTCAAAATTAACATCGTTAATTTGATCGGAAAACGTAGACAGGACTACGATAAACGGCGATACGGTACGACAGCTTTTAACAGCTGTTGTTCGACGACAAAATCGTAAAAACTCTAGAGAAAGCTTCTAGAATTATCGGCAAACCTTCTAGAATTATTCTAGAATTTTTCGGCTGGTTGTTTGCCACAGCAAACACGGCTTACCTGCTGCTGACGCGACAGGACTGCAGTGAGCGATGGAGGGACGGTTGGTGCTGCTTCCCGAATGCTTGTCCGAGACGCAGACGCTTTTCCGCTTCGGCTTTATCCACCGGTGAATGCCTGATGTCTGGGCTTGTTCCCGACGTATGGATGAGGCTGCTGATATCCGGTGGTGTGGTGAAATCGTTCAGGAACTCCGCTGTAGGCTGGAGGTAGCTGAACTATTTCCTGAAGGCACTCCGTAAGGCTCAATCCACCCCGTCGCTGTACGCTGCGTGTGGAATCCGGTTAGCCAAACAGAGAAATTCGGCTTTGCGCACGGTTGACGATGCGCTCAGTTCAAAGTGCGGACAATCGGCTAATTGTAGCTCACAGGGCTAATTGCCTGCTTGCTCATTAAAAAAAATCACAGACTACAGGGATGCGGAGATCGAAACCGCAATCTCCACCATGAAAGCACGCTGTGCGCGTCGCACAGGAATGTGGACGGAACAAGACGGCTGCCAAACAGATCGTTTATTAAAATGAAATTTTAATAAAGGCAACAAGGCCCGACAAATCTAAAATCATCCGCAGGATGATATCAAATCCCAGATGGGAGCAAAAGGAGAACAGAATCGACCAGTCAAGATATTCTTGGCTGGGAGATGCGGAAAATCAGAAGTGAAGGCCGTGTATTTTAATACACGGCCGAATCGGCAAAAAACAGACCGGAGAGACGGTGCGGCAATCCACGCAGCCCCACTATCCTGGGCGGTGGCACCGGCCTCCTAGCACTGTTCTCTGATGAAACATTTTACAGTACACTGGAGTTTCTTTCACATCACATACACAAAATCAAGTATATGTTAATCTGCTCTGCGTAACGCCTTTTACAACGACGATGTGTGCATCCAACGCAAATATCTTGGCGGTCTTATTTGTCTCACTTTAAAAAGAACAGAGGATTTAAAAAAATCAGCGGAGCTTATTGCTACTACAGCGCATTACAAAATAAAACATTTTTATTCCTAATTATCAGATTATCGGTTACATTCAAAATCAGCGATATCGACTTACCTAGAAAAAGTCTTTAAAATGCAAAAATAAAAGATTTGTTAGTGGCGCCATGGCAACCGCCCAAGATGACTGAGGGGCGGATGGGGCCCCGGCAGTCAGAAATTTTTTCTTTCAAAAAAAATTTTGAAAAATGGTTTTTGTATCAGAAAAATGCGATAAAAACTATCCCGAGGTCAAATTCGCTCTAGAAAGATGTCTCGAGGTCGAGGGGGGTCGCGCTAGTCACTGCTGATTATCCACCTGTGTAGTGATACAGCAGGACATCATGCAACAATATTCAGGCGCTCTGTTTTCTACCCTCTTGAACGGTTTTCCTGATTATGGCATGCAGTAATGTTGAGTACCAACGGGAGCACTGCTCTCATTTTCAGTTTTTTGACAAACGGCGTACCAAACACGGATCTATCCAACTACCAACACGACCAAATGTGGGACCAGCAATGTCGAGCCAACAAAGGCGTGTCATTTTCGTACATGTACAAAGTAGAGTTTTTAATAAATATTGCTTCAATACAATAAATAAATTGGCAAGTTTCATAAGACATAGGCATCAGTCAGAGTACCTTTTTGGCGGCTGCTGATTGCGTCGGCGAGGTTTATCAGTGTTTGTCATCGCCGATTCCGCAAGATGGTATCACGATTGATTCACTGGTTAATCAAGATTTGACTGCTAAAGCGTTAGATCAACCCGATAACTACGTTGCTGATCGTTGCCGGAAGTGTAACGCATCCGATTAGGCTGCACGTGTTGTAGCGATAACCTTTCCACTCTGCTAGAGTTGGTTAGCAATTCGGCGAGAGATGTTACACATTTCTTCGAACAGTCGCTGAAGTCTCTCAACTTGTCTCATTTCCTGCGCATTTCTAGCAATGTGACGCTTTCAAATGCAATGATCAACCCAACTTCCTGGTTCGGGATAAATAAAACGCTGTGCGTTAGTGATTGCCTCTTCACAAACGCCTTTCCTTTTCGAAGCGATTCGCCAGCTCAGTTGGACAAGTTAGTGGAATATCAAGATTTGTGGCGGCAAGAAGCATTGCTGACTGCTTTTACTGTAGTTGCCTTGTATCATCCGCATACTCCAAACTTCGGCAATGCATTCCGGGATGTGGATGGCGGGCGCCGTGTCCGTAGCGTGTCTGCTACTGTGCGGACAGTTTTTGACTTGTGAGGCGGGTATCTTTGACTTCCTGAGTTTAGACTACAAGAAAGCAGGCAACAGCGGCGGAGGAGTGTCCAGTCGCAACGAGGCACACGGCGGCGCCGGATTGGGCGGACAAGGAGGCAGCGTCTACATCGACATGAGCGGCCGTTCTAGCAGCGGCAACAGCGGATTCGAGCGGCGCAGCCACGGACGGCGAAGACGGAATGCCGACCAATCAACAACTGTTACGCCGACTTCAACGACATATGTCACATCACCGTCGTCAATTAACACGGTGCTTGCTTCTTAGGCTGCACTCTGTACTTGCGAAGATTGTATTTCTACCGCATAACGCATGCTTGATTTATGTAATATTATACCATGTAGCACAATAAAATATCGTTTATCTGTTTTATATGTATTTGTGGACGATAAACGTTTGAAAATGGAGTTTTGAAATGCTGCAACTGTCGCATTACAATCATTTTGATCAATCTAAGGAAACAAATTTGCACATCTGTTTGAGCGATTATATGCAGAAGCGTAAAATAACTCCTGATCTATCAGCAGCTCGATGTAAGCAGAAATATAGAATAGGATCTGACTCTGAAATATAGAGTAGGGTCGGACTCTTGGGCATGGAACTAACAAGCAACAGCGTGCTAATTAACAACGCAGATGTTATGTATAACAGAAACGAGGAGCAGACATCCCCTCCAGAAATTGAAATTATGGGTGTATGGGGCTGTATGTGAACCTATTATTTTAAGCCTTGCTGTACTTAAAGTAAACCCAATGTATGCATCAAAATCGTAAACAGAAAGAAGCCGGTCATCGGTTAATTCGGTTTATACAATAATTGTTACTGCCTAAATTCCACTTAATATTCTCGTTCTTAATAGTACAATAACATTCCGCTTGTACCGATATTTTCAAAATAGACACTTTATTTTATGCAGCTATGTACTGAAGCAGAAATCTTAATGTTTCAGTGCAACTTTTCTGAGCAACCAGATTTATTTGTCTGAACGATCGCTGGCTGTAGAACCATATCATATTCAGAATAAGAGATTTGCAGTGGACAGTAGACACCTGACTAACAAAAACTGCAATTTGATGCAAAAACATGCCAGTACCGCTTGTTTGCCGGTATACGTATTGCATACACTACAAAGTTCATCGGATGATGCCAAATAAAGACACCGAACGTAAGGCATCGAAGGAGCGGTGACCTTTGTTTTGAGCTTATTATAAGTTAGCATAGTGTGTCTACAGTTTAAAGGAGGCAGATGCCATCCCGATATTGAGCACAACAAACAAACAATCTATCCGAAGGAAATATATGGAAAACTGTTAAAAATTACCATTTGCGGCTTTTTAATGAGAACTTGTACGGATACAACGGTTTAGCACGCTATTATCCAGATCACAGATATGTGAATCGGAAGAACATGTGAAAAATCAATTCCAAGAATAAAATGCCGGCACTGCTTCAGGTAACCCTAGCGAAAAGCAACTTGCAGTACAAGATCGACTTGTCAATTGTCACTGAGAAAAGAATCATCGGCAATACCGACCGACGCGAAGGTCGGCTACCGGGTTGTTCCGGTTTGACAGGGTCCCACAGCGGCGGCTGCAGCACTGCGCATTGGAGGTACAGTGGCTGAGGAAGCCCCGGCATGCGGCACGCTTCCTCCGGCCATGGCTGCGCCGGTCAAAGCCGCTGCTGCCGCTTGAAGAGCGGCCGCTCATATCGATGTAGACGCTGCCTCCTTGACCTCCCTGCCCGAACCCGCCATGGGCGATGTTGGTGTTGGATCCTCCTCCACCGCCTCCGTTTCCACTGCCGCTTCCGGATAACGCAGTCAGGATGCCCAGTCCCACTCCCCCGGCAACTGTTCCCCACGCGTCACACACCAGCAAATGCCCGCAAAATAACAGATACAACACGGACACGGCCCCTGTCGTTGGCATACTGGAGTTCATTGTGAAAGTTCGGCGCGTCAAGACAATATAAATGGTGCGGAAAAAAAAGCAGAAAACTTGGCTGCTTGACTGAGAAAATTAAGCTTGGCCAAACGCTTAGACAAGCATCAGTTGCGATATAAACACCGCTTCGCTTAAGAGCGGCTTTTTATTCGTCCTCAACCAGGAAATCTGGTTAGTCAGCGAACTTGAAATCGTCATTGACATTACTCGACTAGCAGAAGAAACAAGGAAAGTGGAAGGACTTCACCGATCGTTCGAGGAAATTTGTAGTATATCTCGCAGAAATGCCAACCAGCCTACGTCAGGAGCAAAGGTAACCCAAAAATGCACGTGCAAATTTATTGGATGTGTCACACTTCCGATGCAGCTGCTATCAGCTGTGTAGTGATGCGCTGGCTGATCGAACACTACAGCATGCCGTGCAAGCAGTACACTGATCGCATCTTATCAAATGGAATCTCACGCGTAGTTCAGTAACTAAGGGTCTCTGACACTACCGGAACACAATCAGTATAAAAGCAGCAAGTCTAATGTTCAATGAAGCAGAATATTTTCTTTCCATACTTCAATCAAGTGGTAGATTAAATTGTTCCCTAACAGTATTTACCGAGTTCTGCAGTTGAGAATAGTCTCTGTCCGACAAGCATGGATTTTCCGCGGTTCAGTCATCTGGCAGTGGTAGCAGTATGCTTATGCGTTTGCTTGCAAACGAGCAATGCCTTCGATTTCGCCAAGTTGGCGGGCATCGGTTCCGGGTTGACGACGATGGGGAATGCTATCAAAGGCGGCGGAAGTGGAGGCGGAGGAGGATCCAACAACAACCAGGCACACGGCGGCATCGGATTGGGCGGACAAGGAGGCAGCGTCTTCATCGACATGAGCGGCCGTTCCGCTGCGGGTGGCGGCTTCGAGCAGCGCAGTAACGGCGCAAGGCGCTGGAAACGCGCGGAATGCCGGCACATCAACAACTACTGCCACGCCGACGAGCACTGCTGCAACGGCATCTGCCGCGTCCAAGTCGTCGGCCAACACGGCGTCTGTCTATAATATTCATTTGTCAATGATATAGTTTCTTATAATATCACCTTCCTCAGTGAAGGTTATTTGCAGTATAATTGTTCATGAAAACTGTTTTTTTCTGTGCAGGGTTTAAAGCTAGCGAGTCATTGTCGGACATGATGTTGACTTAGTGTTAACTATTAAGTGTGCTGTACAGATACTGTACTATAGCTTGGTGTAATAAAGCATTACACAACTGCTATCTACAGCTTACAACTACACATCTTGTATATACAATTGGGTCAAAATTAAATGTTTAGTTAATGATTAATTAATTATTAATATGCTACGTCAAAAACTTTATTTATGTATACGGCGAAAGAACAGTGTCATAGTTAACCTGACTGCTTACAATCATGGCAGTATGCGCAAATGACCGTTACTTTTACGTTTTTCTAAACTCCAGTCAGCACTGTCAAAATGAGAGTACCAGAATTAAGTTTTAACCTTGCCAAATGCAATGCAGGAAATTTCCTGTACTTGAAAAAAAAACAGCGAAAACCATTTTAAGAACAGCAACAAGTACGATTGAACCGGAAGTGGGCGGAGGCGTAGAATGCCTGTGATCCAGCGCAATAGCAGGAGCGGCATTTCTATACATGTATGCAATTCATTAAATGGGCTAAATGACACTAAATGTACACGAATGTACTTGTGGGCTATGTGTGTATGTACACGAATTCCGACGGGCGACGCCAGCCGACGCCGGACGTCGTGGTCGTCCGGACGCATTGGTCGGGGACCTAGGCGTGTCTCGCAAACGGTGTTGTTGTCTTTTTCATTTCTCATTTGTTCTTTACCATTTCTCAACGAAACAGTTGGTCCACATTCGTTAAGGTTATGATTCGTTATCATTTCAGCGTGGATTTTGAACCCGGTTTAACTGAAGAAGGCATAAAAACAGCTGTTACAGTTGTAACGCGGGGACACAGCAGAGAAAACAGACCAATCCAGCTAAAATTAATTCATCACACCCAGTAATAGATCTACACCTTTTAGTTAAAAGCTTTTTACGAAACTGCCCAACTGAACGGCTGACTTATTAAGTACGTACATCGTTTTAACATTTATATCCGCTGCAGACTATTACTATGTAATCAAAAGAAGATTAATGACGTACGCGGGACCGCCTTAACCCATATTTACTGTATAAACCATTGCTTTTAAGTGCTGTTAATCCATAATACATATTATTTACAGCAGCATACGATCGAAACAATATTATCGAGGTCTTTTATTTCGGTCTCGGTTTATTACCATCTCTCAAAACATTTTTTACACAAAGCTGCATATCAAAGGCGCACAAGAATTTCTCCTTCAAGTAACGCGCTGGGTAACAAACGGCGCTAAATGAATAAATTTAAAATCAACCTCTCATCCCACACCGCCGCTAAGAGATTCGGCAAAACCCGCGCGTACAGAGACGACTACAGCACTGATAGTTAATAGCACAGGGTCTGTGCAAGGTCCGGCATACGCTAAAAACGGTACGCTTCCTCCGGCCGTGACTGCGCCGCTCGAAGCCGCTCCTGGCACCTGGAGAACGACCGCTCATGTCGATGTAGACGCTGCCTCCTTGACCTCCCAAGCCGATGCCGCCATGTGCGACGTTGGTATTGGATCCTCCTCCGCCGCCTCCGCTTCCACTGCCGCTTCCGGATAATGCAGTGAGGATTCCCAGTCCCACTCCACCGGCAACCGTTCCCCACGCGTCACAAACCAGAAAATGCCCGCAAACTAACAAATACACCACCGACACGACGCTTGTCATTGATAACGAGAAATGGATTGCAAAAGTTAGGATACTGGAGCTATTGCTTGCCGCGGATACTGTTTGGTATGCTCGAGTTTCTGGCTGACTTGCAAATTGCTGCTAAGTTATGGCAAAAACGCTACGTAAAAGAAAATTAACTGTGTGAAGTAGCAATCGCTCAAGTCAGCCTTTTATGCATCAGAAACGTAGCAGTCTGGTTAGTCAGCAAATTTGATGTGCAGGAAATGACAAAAAAGTTACCGATCGTTCCATGAAGTGTGAAGTGTCTCACGCAGATATGCTACCCGGCCGACGCATGTGGAGATTAAAGATAGTCGCTAAAACACGTGCAGCATTATTAGATGTCCATCATGCTTCCGGCAGCGATCGGCTGTGTAGTGTTGGAACTTGCATAGGAGTCGTAGTCCAAAGCATCAAGAAAATAGATACTGATCGCATCTTATCAACTAGAATCTCGCGCGTAGTCAAATGACTAAGAAACGCCGGTCGCGAGGTTCGAAGTGATGGAATTACCGAAAATCTAGTTATTTGCTCCATTGACATTTGATGAGTTTTGTGCGAATATGAACGCTACCCGTAGGGTGCAGCGCCCGAGAGCCACCGCCCGCACACTGCACTAACGTACTAGTACGTGTAACATGTCTGTTTTCAGAAGACATGGGTTTCTTCACGCCCTTGATTTCCTTTCGCAATAAATTATCCTTCGTACGAAGGTTGTGGTTGTCCTATGGAAAATACATAATATACGACAGCATTTATCTGGAGTATCTGGACTTCTGGTCGAAATTTCTTTTCAGCCGACTTTTGCGCGTAGATGTATTTGCCGACCAGCGCGTAGATGTATTTCAGATTGTGATCGCCTACTTTTCTGAAATGCTGTATTAATCGGAAGGTCCCATCAACACAACAACTTGGTGACTTTTGCTTCCGCCTAGCAGGAAAGCCACGTACCACGCATTCTGCTACCGTCACTTCCGTCTCCGTACTGTCAGAATTTATGAATAGATTCTTATCGCAACACAAAATGGACCTACGATAGACGGTACGATATACGGTAGGCTCTTCTACGTCATCACGGCGTACCCTTACCGGACCGTTCGACGGTAGGATTGACGGTAGAAGGCTGAGATATCGTAATGCCTACCGTTGACATTTGCGATATAGCAACCTCCCGTAGTGGCAGTGGCATGAAGCACAACGTGTGCAGCTGCCAAATCATGCAACTTTAAAATTGTTCTGGTAGATTTTAATTCTTCTTGATTCATTAGAAAAGGATATTAGAAGAAAGATAAAATTCTAAGGAGTTTTTTGATACCAAGCGAGGGAGGTTTATCTGAAAACGAACGATTCTGCAGCCATCTGAATTTAGCATACCAAGCTTACGGAGCCGTTGAAGTACTCTGCGCGAGCTGCCATTTAAACTCCATAGGCGCCTGTGTTAAAATTCAAATGCTCGTAGAAAGGTTCATGGGCTGTTAAATCCGGATGTTTTGGTATCAAAAAATAGTTCAGAATTTTAGTTTTCATCGAGATTTCAGCTGAACGATTGTTACCATCTGCCAAAGCCTTAAAACTTATTTGAACCACAGCGTTTTCACGTCAGAGGCAGGATTGGACCGTATCGTTTACCGTCTGCGCGCTGCGATCACTCTAGCTTATCAACGGTATGGCACGATACGGTGTCCCACCGTATCGTACACCGGACCGTATATCGCTTCTGTGGGGCGATAAGAATCTAATGTGTGAATGTGTGCGACATCAAGATTAAACCGAAAACATCCATGGTTATGGAGGATAGTGGTACACATTAGCGTAATGACTGTCACTTGCCTATGAACAGTTCAAAGATTTTGCGCGGATAGCAGTAATCTCTTAGTTTACATCAGTGTGACCGGATACCATGTTGAACAGGCACGGTATACATGTTGAACAGGCACGGTATATAAGCAGTGCATTACAGTATCCTAACTGGAACGATATTTATTCGCGTTTGTCTGTGGATTGTCCAGTACTGTTATTGCACCGGATATCAACAACAGCCAGATCGAGTGGACTTACCCACCATGTACACTGCGCGTAAGCACATTCTTGCTCTGGCGTACACATGCGCTCTTGTGTATGCTCATTCCTGGACGCACGTGGCCGCTGGACGGACAGGCGGCGCTGCTGCTGCCGGGGGCCAAGCCGGAACGTTCATTTCCGCTGACGGGAGCGTGATCAACATTGCACAAGGAGGAAGTGGATTCGGAGCGCCTGGTACGAGCGTCTACGTCGACAGCAACGGACTGGTTCATACGTTTACACCCGACACGGTCGCCAGCGGCGCGGAGTGCCGGCGCGCTGGGCGCCGCTGTCTTTTCAAGCGTCACTGTTGCAGCGGTTCATGTCTTGCTCCGATTTCTGGTTATCCCGGTTTCTGCCTTTAAGGACGCCGGACGCGACAGTCCTGTGGAATATTTTCCAAACTGTTTGATGTGTTACTAATACACTGACAAAAATTGCGTCACCAGATTTTTAAAATGACGCAGAGATTCTAGCGCCGGAAAGGAAACTGTTTATTTCCTATTACGCTGAAGTGTCTTTCATTAACATGTGTCATGCCTGTGGGTCTTTCACAGTGTACAACTCGGTGATTTACAGTAGTTTCTGCGTAAAGGTACAGCGAGAAATACAGATTTCTGGGCTGCGCTGCGCTCCACACCACGGCCCGCCATGCCACTCACTTTGCGCGTTACATGCATTTGGCATAGTTGACACACGTCAAAATTTTTGTTGGTATCGTATAAACATAGGTGCTTTTGGTAAATTCGCGTTAATCTGTATTATTTATCCACTAACGCGCCAAAGATACATTGTTATTTCGGTATTGCGTTCATAAATTCGTGTTTCGGTAATACGGTATTACGAGTAAGTATGCCTATAAGCTAGTTCAGAGTTATTAAACACATAATTACACATTTATTATATTTTATCGGCAGAACTTGACCCGCACCTACTTACGTACATAAGACATCCGAAACTAATGAAAATCCAACACTTGTAAATTAATTTGTCTCATTTCGTGTGAAAAAGAGCAGCTGCCAAAGCAATTTGCGTTATTACCTCTCTATGTTGTAACTTACACGCTTTTACACCTTAACACTTCTTAAAAAAGCGCGTTCGAATAGTCAAGAGTCAAGACACTTTGAACACACTCGTGTCAGTCGTGTGGCTGCAAATCTGGCGTAACGGTCAACCGCGGAAGGCTGGCAGTCCACGTTTTATGGCCACTGTCAATCAGGGCACCCATCCACGGTTGACGGTGAGGTGTACGCAGATGGGCAACATTCCACGGTTGGCTGTTAAGTGAATCATGCTGTCGCACAATTGGCGCAGTGTTCAAAGGGTCTTGACTTTTCGAACGCGCTACCGAAGATGCTTGCTCTCTCCTCGTACCAAAAATAGGTGATAATGCCACCGTTTGTTTGATTTTTTGAAATACCAATCACGTGCTTAAATACTTAATTGCTTTCTCATTCACCCTTTTTCGTCGACGCCACGGGTAGGAAAGGAATAAACTACAGTTTTATTACGTTATTTTTCAGAAAACTGCTGCCTTTCTAATTGCAAAGCAGTAGTGAAGTATATCAGTACAGTCTTATTGTTTTGATTGATTACAGAAACAAGAGCAAGATCATTCAAACAAGAGCCCAATGCTTGAAATGAAATGGGAAGCCGAGAAGAAGTCCATGGAAGACAAAACCGGTCAACCGGATTTTAACTGTAGGCTTGTAGCAAAGCTTAACTAACAAACAGCTACCACCACCGAGATATTCAGCAGTTGCTTCCCATTCGACAGATTCCGCACCTGGTAGAATATTTTTAGTGGGTGATATTACATTGTCAGTGATGGCATACGTAAGTGCCATAAAGTACAAACTACACGTATAATGGTTTTGGCGGCTACAGAAGACTAATAAATCGGATGTGGAGGTAAGTACAGCTTCGCATTTGATTGCTTCTCAGATTTTTCTGTCAAAAGCACATTTAATACTGCCTAACCTTGTCATGCAAAGCCGATCTTTACAGTCTTTTGCGCCGATTCAACAGTTGCAGAAACATCAGCACGTGCATACCGGAACTATACCCGTAACCTCAGTACGCTCGTATCGGTTTATCTCTGCTGACATGGACAGTTTCCTGTGATACTCATTTCACTCGCTTCGTTTCAGTTTGACTATCTGCCATGGTTTATTGCCGTCAACTTCGTGCATCTCTATAGTTAGGTTGAATACTCCTTCGTGGCTGCCACCATAGACAAAAATTTTGTTATCATACGCGAATCCACAATGCCCCAGTCTCGGCTCAGATAAAGGTGGCACGATTTCTCAAATCCTACGTCGCCTGTCCAGCCGCACACAGCTAGCAGTCATACGAACCGGTTCCTTGGGCGTACCTGCTACTTCAGATATACAAGATCATTCAAACAAGGTACACATATTCGCCCACTATGACAGTGGCAAAGTCGTTTCGGCACTGTGGAAGGTCTGGCAGTCGTTTGGGTGCAAGCAGGCCAGTATTTTAGCGAAGTCGATTGCGGTTGAATTACTGATGGTCCAATAAGAGCGAACGCTCCGCCTGCTGATACTAGGGAATCAGAAGTGGACTGGCGAGTTTCCCTATAGCATATAGGGGGAAAACAGTGTCGCACTCTACATCTTCCCTGTACTGCCCCAGTCATTCCGTACGCACTTTACGTCATGGCTGAACAGGGCTTTTAAAACGCGCCACATTTATACTTGCACATTGATGCAGGTACATATACCGTGCAAACTTTATTAATTTATTCGTTTTATTAATGCGGATTGCATATCCATCGAAATATTAATAACGAACAAAACTGTTGAGTTGAGGTTATCAATCAAAATCCGAATTGTACTGAGTTCTTAACAATTATTAACATTATTGTTGGAAAAACGAATTCTGTGGATATCCGGCGCGTGACGCAGGTGGCACCGCCCGGTATGGTACCGTGATTTGGCTCACGTTTTGAGAGTTTTCGAAATCTTGTAACGTGGGGCCTTATGGGCGCCCACGTACCTTCGACGGCGAAACAGCGGAGAACCCGGATTGAGGCTTTAATGCCGAAATCTAAGGTGCGCACCGTGGCGCAGCAAACACCGACTAATGAGATCGGATCCTACAGCCAGCGCAGCTGTGCTGTAGGTCCGTCAAACACCACAGAAATGTGTGGGATGGAAATCCCCAGAAACAGCGAAACACAACGGCGAATGGCCAATCGTGAAGGCGGAGCTATCGGCCTTCACAATCTTCCAATCTTTTGATTTTCGACTTTCGGGCGAAAAAGTGGTTTCTTCTTTGCAACTTTGGTTGCAAAATGAAGAATAAGTTACGGGAATCATTTTAAGTGATAAATGTGCCGTTTTGAACCAGATTCGAGCACACTGTAAGGATTCTGCCTGTGCGACGCACAACAAAATGCATATTCTGCAGTATCACTGCAGTGATTGCAGCACTTGGTTGATTATCATTGCGCCGTATGTACAGTACTTGCATCAATGTGCAGGGATAAATGCAGCGCTTTGGAAACCCCTGTTTAGCCATAACGTGGCCGTCCATACGGATGACCGGAGCAGTACAGGGGAGAGGTAGAGTGCGGCACTGAATTCCCCCTACATAAATGCGGCATTTAACGACTGCCACTATACGTGTTAATGATTACCGTGTTTTTCGAATTAGAAGGCGTGCATGGGCGTCTAAATTTTCAAAGGTGCCTAGGGGGAGGCTTATACAGCAGAGGAGGCTGATATTGTGGAGGAGGCTTTTAGATTTTCGATGCATTTAAATTAGATATTATGGTCATATGGACGACTTCGTACACGCTAAATTTTTCGAGGCATGTTTTTTTGCTTATACGGTTATACCCACAGTATCCTGCCGTATTCCACGGTACCCTCTACGTATCCCTCATGTATCCTTACAATTTTTTGACGTCCGTTCGATTGTTGCAGTATCCCTCCGTATCTCCAATATGTATCCCACATGAACCCGGTTAAAAACCTAAGAAACCTAAGGAAACCTAAGAACACTAACATGCATCTGGCTGGCTGGTGGCTGGGTGTACGCCAGATAATTATTTAAGGAGTAATAGTAACTGCCTGGCCGAAGGTGGCTAGAAAACGGTCCGTGTAGTAATAGACAATCTATCTGCGGAGCGCCTTTAGGCAATCCGATAAGCGTTGTGACGTGGCCGCCATCATATTTTTAAGCGCAAATTTCGCGCTAGTTGTACCTTTAGGACAGAAACTGCCGAACAAGCTTGTACGTAGGTAGTTCTATGCATGAAAAGAAGTCTATATACTCGTATGATCGTATCATGTGCTTGTCTGTTCATTTGACCAGCCGGCTTCTTGGTCGATATGCAGGATCATACGAGTATCTCACAATCAGTATAACTTAGAATACATTCCTGCCAAGGTAAGCACAACCAGTTTTTCCACATGGTTAACTTTGGAGTTATCGATCGACATACGCATCTCGGCATGCTAATGTATCTATATGGAAGGCTGGAAGCACCTTGTGAAGCTACGCCAGATCGAGAATCACGGTACTCCATGCGGAAAACTGCTGTAGGCAGTTGAAACATGGAGTAATGCAGCTGAAATTGTGCTAACAGTACGTAGCGTGTCAAATTTCACATTGTAATTGTTCGATTTTAATGTTTATTGCAGTTCAGTTATTCCAGATTTAACCCATGCCATTAATTTGGAAATATCTCCTCAGATCGAACTGTTACAGGATTATGGAACTTCTCTATTTGCACTGTCTGATGTACGGTACTCGTAGTGATGAGTCGGCACCATATTTTTTGTCTGCCGCTACCGACCATTGGGGAATGTTTTCATCGCGCGGCTAGTCTCGTTACCATTATCTTGCAAGCGGTTATCCTGGATTGGTACTTAATTTACTACGGCAGCCAGGCTTCGTACGGCTGGATTGCGGCGGATTGTATCGTGGCCGCAACGTTTGTGGTATCTTATGTTTATGCAGATCTATACTTCAAAAGCCAATCATGCGAAAAAGATGCAGTGTCCGTTCCTCTACGTGCAGTAGCCATCAGCGCGGATGATACCAACAAAACCGTTGCCAATGAACAAGAGGAAGATAACCGGAATTTGACGGCAAACGACAACGTTGACGATGCGGACGATGGATATCACCAAGAGCAGCATGAAGATATTTGCCGTGTTATCGGAGAAGACAGTAATGCCCACAATAATCGAAATGTTGCCGAAAATATCGATTTATCGGACCGGCTTAATAAAGCGCGCGATGATAAAAAGATGCAGCATCTCAAAGCGGGCAGACTGCGGACGAAATACCATCTGGGAGCACTGCCGCTGGCCTACATCAGCTGGGCAATTTATTCCTCGATACTGATCGGCAAAATGCTGGTTATACTGCTGCGGCACGGCCAACAGCTGGACGTGAAACTGCTCTTCAAGTCCAACATGCTGGAGCTGGCGTTCGTCAGCACAGCGTGTGTATTTGCCTTCGTGGTGTTGGGACACAAGCAGATTCCCCGCGGACAGGAACAGCAACGAGCCGTCATCAGTTATCTGACCGGCAGAGTACTGATGGACATCATTGATTCCGTGGAATTACTGAATTTCCTGTATGATGATGGTCACGCCGAACAGCCAAAGATGCAGCCGGCGGTCAAGTATGCCATTCTGCTGTTTGTGTCCATCCAGATCTTTCTGCCGACAATTGGTTTATTCCAGCTGAGCGGCACGAATTTCGCGCATGATCGACCGCGGAAAATTTGGAAAATGATTCATCAGATGCTGAATTTATTCCTGGAAAATATTCCCTTTCTTACCATTCGTATTTATCTCTGGTCCATGAACCAGTTTACCGAAAGCACGTTTGTGTTTATTGTAAAGAATGTTTTCGAGATTACTATGAATGATTGGGATTTTGTGAGATGGCTACAAACGTGGATAACGACGAAATTATCCAGACGCGAGGGCACACCGCCCATGACAACGTAATTAAAATTCTTCTTACAAGCCCAATCAAGGCCTCCGGCCTCGGTTAGGTAAAACGAGATTGATTTTTGATTATGGTTTCAATATTATAATTTAAATATTTTAATTATTATCAATATTATGGAATTACTGATCTGCTAATATTAAGTATTGTCAGACTCGTAACAGGATGATCTACTACCATTATTGCAGTGCGAATACTATCTAAACAGTTTCCCTGAAATCACTTACTTCGTCGCGTATAGCAAACAACCTTAACACCAGTGATCCCTTATTCCAAAAAAATACCAGTGATCCCTTATTTCGAAAAAATTTTATTTTCTTTTTGTGAAATCTGCTAAGAAACAAAAAAAACAAACGGTGGAGTAGGGATTGTATACATAATAATAATAAAACGCGTTTTGCTGCTCAGTGACTCAATATTTTCCTGAGGTACTTCGAATATTGAAAATGCAGACTGCTGATCGCGCTCGATGCAGTATAATGACCGCTGGTAAGAAATGTGTCATAGTATGTAGTGCTACAGTGAATACGTTATACGTACTGAACAGGGTAATCGCAATTCGCGATATTCGACTTTTGCACCACGTGGTCGCAACGGCGTTGTCATGGAGATTGCTATGCCAACAAATTTTTTCAACCGGAAGCGACGTCTACCTACTACTAATAACTAGTAAACAACACCCATCCTTTCAAGAGATTTTGCAACAGTTTAGTTAAATGCGCTAGCAGAAGTTCGGTGGTCATTCGATCTCCTATCCTTGTCGGTTTGTCGAGAAGTTGCAATACCGGAAATAATCAACCGGAAAGGTCAACTAGCAAGAGCAAACCATTTTTTGCGAATTTTTTTCCTACAAATAATAGAACCTTTATTTCACAACTTGTACAAGCAAATTCCATTTAAACTTAAAACTCAAATATCCAGCAGCTAGAATAAATGAAAAAGCTCTTCTAGATCTTTTGAACAACGAACAGTTCCCCAAACAGAAGCGGCATTTCCGCGCTGAACTTCAACACTTTTTTGCGAATTATTTTTGATATAAGGCTATAAAAAGAATGAAAAGCCTTTCACTAAAATAAAGTGCTTGCATCCCGGTAGAAAACGCTAAGATTCTTTGGGGGTGCAAATTTTGCTGGAACTTTAAGCGAACTGCGTAATACCTTACTCAAAGCGGTAGTGTTTTCGCAGCCGTAATGCGATGGTAATCCGATCAAACGCCTATGCAACCGTTTGTACACCGGCGACGTTCGTTCGCATTACCTTTGCTGGTACTGTAATGACACAGGTTTAAGGAACGTAGGGGAGGCGTGGTCAGCGCACCCGGACCGTCGGTCTCTTTGATCCTGAAACGGGCCGACGACTCGCGTGCGCTGCCCGGCCCCTGGAGCGTTCCTTAAACCTGTGTCATTACAGTATTAGTAATTCTACGCCAATACAGTGTGCACACTACGCTAACGTATGTATTTATTGTATTCCCAGTAAATCGTTGCACATTCGTAAACTGCGCAGTCGCCATTAATCAGAACTACTAAGCCGGTCCGCCCTTCAGCCGCTGCCGTAGCTGGTCGCGTGCCGGCGGACGGAACGTGGAGAACGCTTCCGGGTACAACATCTCCCCATCTTCCGCATCCTTCTCCACAGCCTCGTGACTGACAGTAATTCTCAGATGATTTTTTCCATCCACAGGCGTAACCGAAATTGCATCTTTCACCTTTACATCCCGGTTTTCCTCCCGGGACTTTGCGACACTGGCAGGATGAGGCGCTGAATCTCAAACGTGTTACACTGATTAAGGACCTATGGCTTAACCGGAACCAACCCAGAAAAAGCAGCAAGCCTACCATTCAACGACGCAGAATATTTTCTTTCCTACTTCAAGCAACTGGGGGTTTATGTTGTTCTGTCACAGTATTTACCGAATTCTGTAGTTAAGAAGAGTCACTGTCCGACCACAATGAATTTTCAGCGGTTCAGTCATCTGGCTATGTTAGCAGTGTGTTTATGCGTTTGCTTGCAAATGAGCAGTGCCTTCGATTTTGCAAATTGGTGGGCATTGGTTCGGCCTTGACGACAATGGGGAACAAGGGCGTCGGAAGTGGAGGCGGGGGAGGGTCCAATAACAACCAGGCACACTCGGCATAATAAAGCATTGCACAAGGGTTACCTACAGCTTAAAACTACACATCTTGTATACAGTTGGGTGAAAATTAAATGTTTAAATAAGGAATAATTAATCATTGGTACGTTACGTCAAAAAATTTATTTATGTTTACGGCGAAGGAGCAGTGTCATAGTTTACCTGACTGCTTACAATCATGGCAGGGTGCGCAAATGACCATTACTTTAACATTTTTCCAAATTCCAGTCAGAACTGTCACAATGAGAATACCAAGCAAATTTCAGTTTTAACCTTGCAGGAAATTTCCTGTTTTTGAGAAAAGAACATCGAAAACCATTTTAAGAACAGTAACAAGTACGATTGAACCGGAAGAGGGCGGAGGCGCAGCGTGCCAGTGATCTAGCGCAATAGCAGGAGCGGTATTTCTATACATGTACTGTACGTACAGAGTACTTCATTCATTGAATGGGCTGATTGACAGTTGTATGTACGTATGTACAAGCCTGTACACGAATTCCGCGAAGTACACGAATTCCCCAAGGCGACGCCAGCCGACGCCGTGACGTCATGGTCGTCCGAACGCTTTAGTCGGTGACATAGGCGTGTCTCGCAAAGGTTGTCGTTGTCTTTTTCATTTGCTCTTTTCAATTCTCAACGGAACAGTTAGTACAGATTCGGTTATGATTCGGTTATCATTTCTGCGTGGATTTTGAACCCGGTTTAACTGAAGAAGCATAAAAACAACTGGAACAGTTGTAACACGGGGACACAACCGAGAAAACAGACCAATCCAGCTGAAATTAATTCTCACCACACCCCAGTAGTCGGACAAATGAACAGATCACCACCTTCTGGTTTTTTTTTTATGTTGCCGCGGATGCGGATGTTTTTTATTAACCTTGGGTATAACGTAATATACATTAATAAAGAACAGCACGATTTTTTATAACATCAAAAGTTCATTAAACTTTTCTGCTCCTTCCATTGTTCCCAAAACCGATGCTGCGTTACCCCGTTGTATCTCCAGTGATAATCTCTGACGCAAAAATTCATGGGAACGGCTTTCGCCAGTATGTTGTTTCAGTCGTTTGCCCAGCTCTTTAACAATGGCTATAGCTGACGGTCCCCATGGGCCCATTGTTTCGAAAGCTATCGGTGCAAAAATGTACCGGCCATTTAGGTAAAAATAGAGCCGCGACTTCTTTTCTTCCGCTTCCGAAGCAGCTGCACCTGCGTTAGCTGCCGTAGACTTTATGTGAGATGGTGCAACAGTGTCAACACAAGTGACGTCCCAAGCTAGGCACATTCTTCTCTGCCAGGCAAAGGTTGTGCAACCGTCTGGGCGTCTCTCGGAAGTATGTGAAGTGCCACGAGGCTCCAGTTTTGCCGGAATTCCAGCCGAAACACAAGATCGACACATAATGCTGTTCAGTGCTCCGTGTCGTGGGTGTCTACCGGCAGAGAATGCACAGGAAAGACCGTGGTGTCCGTATTTGTCGACGTGCTTCTGGCACTTCATGCATTCATGGGGTTCGCATATGGCCACACCCAGTCTGAGGCCAACGGAGATTTTTAGAGTGTCATCATCATGGAGATTGCCAATGTGGGCGGAAGGCAACGCATTTAACCAGATCCCGGCTTCCGGTCTTGACTGTGCTAGAAGGCGCGCTTTGTTAACATCATCATCGCGGTAAACCTCCAGCAGGGTGGACAAAGATACGTTGCATAGTGGTATATCCCAGGTTTTCTGTTGTTTTCGGAAATTCGGCTCAGGCAGATCGGGTTGGCAGGCGTTCTTCTTCCATAATTCGAAAGCATTTGTCAGATCAACAGTCGCAAAGCCAGGGAGCAGTGCAGACACCATATCCGATACGGAGTGAATCGAAGCCAGAAAGGCTGGAAGCGCTAATTCCTCCGACCGGCGTATGCCAATACCGCCCCTGCTGACGGGCAAACTGGCCTGTCGCCAGCATGGGTAGTCGTCGTGAGTTGTTCTGACATTACACAGAACCTGAAAACAGGAACGCACCATCTCATCTATTTCGTAGAGCTGCTGTGGGTACCTCCAAGCGTTAGGGCATCTCAGCATGTAAACAACTTTCGGCGCGCCGAGGCAATGTCTGAGAAGGTACAGCGCATGATGACGTGGCAGCAGCTGGAGTCTCTCGCAAACCTTAGTCAGTGTTGTAGCTTTCTCCGTGAGTGATGGGCCAATCGCATCGTCTAACACAGGAGCTCCAAGCAGCGTAAGGGTAGAGCTGGTCATGACGCGGAGCTGAGGGTACCGGGCAATAAAGTCAGCAATTACGTCTTGTCGAGCGTCCTCCGTCCCTCCGCAAACAAATAGTTCGCACTTCGCAATGTTTATGTCCAGCCCAATAGAATGCGCGTCTTTAACAATTCGAGCAAAATTGTCGAGGACGCTCGCAGGGGAACCGCCTAATGTCCCGTCGTCCAAAAACCAGGCGTTCAGTTCGGTGGTTAAGGTAATGACCAGAATGTGGAGAACGAGACAGAATAACAGTGGCCCCAAAGGATCTCCCTGCTGTACGCCAGACTCCGATGTTAAAATATGGTCGTCCAAAAACAGAGACGAATGATATCCGTAAACCGATTGCAGGAACGCACTGTATTCCGGAAAGTATGTACGCGCAGCGTCCAACACAGCTTCTCTGGACACGGTGTTGAATGCGTTCTTGAAGTCGACTTTCAATACGGCTTTTACGGTCTCGGGATCTGACTCGATGTATCTTCTGGTACCATGGACTATGGCCTCAGCACCACCACGTGCGTTGAATCCTAACTGCAGCGGGCAGAGGGTTGCAGTTACTTTGTCGGCTACTTTCGTACAGACAATTTTAGCGATAATACGGCGTAGCGTCAGTCCTTCTGGTTGAAAGCTTTTACGACGTTGCCCCATTGGA